TTTTTTTTTTTTTCCTTTTTCCTTTCTTTTTTTCTTTTGTAGTCGTAGTTTAATAAAGTTTTTTTTTCGCTGTTAATAAGCTTGGGCCTGCTTTGCTCTGTTCTTGATTCCACTTCACAGCATTCAAGGGAGAGATTACATTTTCATGGGGGCGCTGGTGTTGTGCCAGTGTCAAACCATGACAAGGAGCCACACTGGGCACAGCCCTGGTGACCCACATTCCCTGTGATCCATGTTGGGAACACACCTGGCTGCTTCTCCTTTTGTGTCGACCTGCATTTTTTTCTGTTCTCAATCTCTCTGTGCTCCAAAAGGCAAGAGGGATCGATCTTTCATCTGAAAATCACTCACGTCCCACTGAAAACAACTGAATTTTGACCCACAGATCCTGAAATTCCACCTCGAATTGCTTTTTCCCACCTTAAAACTCAATCCCACGCCAAACTCACTCGATTCCAGAGCTGCCAGGGTGAGATGGGTTTGGGAGGTGATTGGGAGAAGTGGGATCCCAATTTGGAGCGGCGGGATGGGGATTGTGTGGGGCTGAGTGGCTGGGATGTATTTGAGCAGGGAGGACAAATCCCCGCGGCAGAACCTGGTGGAAGAGGCCGTTTTGAGCGGCTCCACGGCGCAGGAACCCGACGGGGAGGAAAAGCCCCGGAGATCCCGCACGAGGAGGGGCTGCAAAGGCAGATCGCGGGGATCTGAGGGGGAAAGAGCCACCCTGGGCCGGGGAGGCGGCCGGAGACGGAGCCAGAGCTCAGAGCTGGGGGACCCTGAGCAGCTCCGTGATGGGGAGAAGCCCCACAAGTGCTCGGAGTGTGGGAAGGGATTCAGGTGCAGCTCTGAGGTGACCAAGCACCAGAGGACCCACACTGGAGAGAGGCCCTACGAGTGTTCCGAGTGTGGGAAGAGGTTTCGGACCAGCTCCTGTCTCTTCCGGCACTATCCGGTTCACACAGAGGAGAGGCCCTTCTGCTGCCCCGACTGCGGGAAGGGATTCAGGAGCAACTCCAACCTCATCACCCACTGGGACATCCTCACCGGGGAGAGGCCCTACGCGTGTCCCCAGTGTAGGAAGAGATTCTCACAGAGTTCTGCCTTTACCCAACACCGACGGACGCAGCGGTAAGGGGAGCCCTGCGAGTGCCCCGGATTTGAAGAGCTTCATGCGCTGCTCCAGCTGCACCCATTCTCAGAGGAGTGACGTTGGGCAGGGTGCTGGTGACCCGCAATCTCTGTTTTCCATATTGGGAATACACCTGACTGGTTTTTCTTTTGGTTTGGTCCTAATTTTCCTCTGCTTCATCTTCATCCCTCAAATAAGCCTGAATATGGTTAAATGAGAGAAATTGATCAAAAATACCTGAAGTCCCAGCATTTTGCACGCGGTTGAGGGAGAATTTTTGATCTGGGGACATTCTGTGTGGAGTGCCACAGGATCACCTTTTTCCGACTGGATTCCCAGAGGATCACCTTTTTCCCACTTGATTCCCAATGGATCCATCCTTTTTCCGACTGGATTCCCAAAGGATCACCTTTTTGCCACTGGATTCCCAATGGATCAGCCCTTTTCCCACTGCATTCCCAATGGATCATCTTTTTCCCACTTGATTCCCAATGGATTACCCTTTTCCCACTTTGCGTTTGTATTTTTAATTTTTCCTAATAAAGAACTGGTGTTCCTGCTCCCATATATTTGCCTGAAAGCCCCTTAATTTTAAAGTTGTAATAATTATAATTATTTGCAGGGAGGGATAATTTCCATTTCAGGGGAGGTTCCTGCCCTTCTCAGCAGACACCTGGCTTTTCAAACCAAGACATTAAGAAGGTTATTGTTATTATGTGTATCATATAACATATTAATATTCT